CCAGGCTGGGGGAGAGCCCAGGGCAGGAACCTGGGGGAAATGGTTCTTCTGGCCATGCTCTGTGTCCCTGGAGCTGGGGAGATCCCCTGGATCTGGATTATGCCCTTTGCTGACCCAGAGATGGGCAACTGAGAGGTGATTTAAAGACTGTTATTCCATTTTCAGTCTCGTGTGGAGGGTGAGACAATACAGATGTTGTAATTCACACCATCACAGTTACAAGCCAACCATTTCCTAATTATATTATAAGTGTTTCTTGGCCTATCAGCTCTTGCCACACCATGCTGTAAATGCCTTTATTGTATTTGTGGGGTGCCCCATGGCAGGAAGGAATGATCAATCTGACTCCATGTTCTCAGGAGGCTAATTTATTATTTTATGATACTATATTATAATAAAGAATACTATACTAAACTATACTGAAGAATACAGAAAGGATACTTACAGAAAGCTAAAAAGATAATAATGAAAACTTGTGACTCTTTCCAGAGTCCAATACAGCTTGGCCCTGATTGGCCAGTGAGACAAAATAATTCACATGAAACCAATGAAACAACCACCTGTTTGATAAACAGTGTCCAAACACATTGCAAAGCAGCAAAACACAGGAGAATCAAATCAGATAATTATTGTTTTCCTTCTCTCTGAGGCTTCTCAGCTTCCCGGGAGCAAAATCCTGGGCAAAGGGATTTTTCAGAAAATGTGAATGTGACATGCCTTGAATCATCTAAAATTACCCCTCCTGGGTCCCACTACAGTGCATCTTTCACAGTTCTATTTCTCCAAAGTATCCAGTCTCTTTTACAAGGCATCCTTTGAAACTTGTTTCTAGTTCCATTTCTCTCTCCACAATGTTCCAGGGCATTTCTAAGTCAGCATTTCTTATCTCAAGGTTTGCATACAGATGCACACACTGTGTAAATCTTCTGACAGGCTTTGAGAATTCTCTACAAATCCATTTCCCACATTCCCCCTGCCCTTTTGGGAAGGGTATCCAGGGGTACCCACCCTGTGAGATGTGGATGTTGGAGCACAGATGGGAGGGTTTGGTGTGCACACTTTGCTCCTTTTCCCCCACCCAGAGAACTCCAGTTGGTCTAACAGAGTGAACTGTTGTGCTCCAGTGTTGGAAATGAGCCGGGCTGGGGCTTTATCTCCAAAGTCCTAGACAAATGTCAGCCTAATTTTGAATTAATTAATAGCAGCACTGTGCCCTGCTGGGAAGCTGGCTTTGCAGAGGCTGTGAGTGCCCCAGGGTGGTTGTTGTCATGCTGAAGCACTCCCAGCTTGATTTAACGGGAGTTACTGGAGCCTTTGCCAGGTGACAGCAATTCTGACATGGAAAGAAGGCAATTCTGCATTTGCCCAAAACTGCCAGGCCAAAATCAGAGTTCTGGCTGGCATCCTGCTTCTCCAGCACAGTCACCGGCATCTGGCAGCTCTGAGTGGCAACACTGCTGCATAAGTATGAACGTCAAAAAATGTATTTAATTAATTTAGTCCTTGTTGTCCCTCTTGGTTTCAGTCCTGCCTGCTCCTTTGCACCTCCCTAAGGTCACATCTCCTGTTTTATTTTCCTCTGTGCTTCAGTACCACTGTTGTGATACAATCTTCATGCCAGATGATCAGGCTGAAGATCAGAGTAAGCTGAAGTGTAACCAAATATTCCCTGTTTGCCTTCTCTCAGAGGAGAATCTCCTAAATATTTTGATAGCAAATCTTTAGGGGGAAAGACTCTGGTTGCCAGAGGAGTCCCCCAAGGAAGAAAACAAGTAGAAAAGCAGGCACAGACATTTTTTATTATTATTATTATTATTTTGTTGTTTTCACTCTGTCAGTGTTTACAGGCATTAAAAACCTGCAGCACTGGAGGGAATTTTGCTCAACCCTTGATAGTTTGGAATTGCTGGAATTTTGCTGTCCAGTGGCTGCATTTTCCATATCCTCATTCATCAGATCAACAAATCTTCCCTTCTACTCCATTACAAAAATTTGTGCACCCAACAATTTCCTAAACCACTTAAAGCAGTGTTTCCTGGGAGGACAGGGACATTTGGTTTGCATTTGCTTCTGTGCCTCCTGCAAGCATCCATGGGGTTGGGATTTAAACCCTGTGGCTCGGGAGCCCTTGCTCAGCAGGATATTTTGGGAGGTGGGAGCCAGATGTGGTCTCAGTTTCTGCAGGAAAGGACACTCATGGCTGCTGCCCTTTAAAGTTATCACTTCAAGGAGGTTGCTGGTGGGTCTCTGATCGTTTTTCCTCCTTTTTGCAGGGAATGGGGAGCTGAGCAACAAGGAGTTTGTTGCCATCATGAAGCAGCGCCTGATGCGCGGCCTGGAGAAGCCCAAGGACATGGGCTTCACACGGCTCATGAGGGCCATGTGGAAGTGTGCCCAGGAGACAGCCTGGGACTTCACAGCTCCCAAGCAGCAGTAGTGGGGTTGGGAAGGAGCACCCCCATTCCCTGGATGAGCCCATGGGCACAGCAGGGTGGCACCAGGCTCTGGAGAGCCCAGGCTGGCTGTGCCAGGAGGGTTTTGTCAATCCAAGTTAGAAATCCACACCTGCTGAATTTGCTTGCTGCTGGCTCCTCCATCATCCTCTCTCTCAGGAACAAGCAAAGGACTTTCACTGCCAGCACCTCCGTGGCATGATGTGCCCTGCTCCAGAGCTGGGCCCCAAATCACCTTTATTTAATGCTATGAAAAATGGCATGGGAGGTTCTTTTGATTCTCAGCCTGCTCCTCAGAAAAGCCAGACAATTCCTGCATTCCCTGGATCCCAGGCCAGGATTGCAGCCAGCCAAAAGCCCTGTGCTACACCTGCTGCAGAAGGGCAGCTAAAAGCAGTGCAGCTCTCCTGCCCTTCCTGCCTTGCACAAGCAGGAGCTCCCTGATTCCCTGAATGGGGAGTTGTACTGGGAAGGGCTGGCAGGTGTGGTTTGCTGGGGGCTGTCCTCTGTAAAATTCCTTGTAAAGATGTTCCTCCCTCAGCCTGGCTCTGTCTCTGCATTGCTCCACATCCTCCCCCAGGGCTGGGGCTGAGGCACTGAACGTGGGGTGGTTTGGGAGTGGGGGGAAACCCCCATGACTTTCCAGAGCTGGAAGGACAAAGGGGATCAGTCACTCCTGGAATACTTTCTGTCCCCAGCACAGGAAGGATATGGAGCTGCTGGAGGGAGTCCAGAGGAAGCCACCAAGGTGATCACAGGGATGGAGCAGCTCTGCTGGGAGGAAAGGCTGGGAGAGCTGGCATTGTTCAGCCTGGAGAGAAACTCCAGTGTGACATCACTGTGGCCTTGCAGTGCCCGAAGGAGGTGACAAGAAACATGGAGAGGGAATGTTGACAAAGGCCTCAAGTGCCAGGACACAGGGAATGGCTTCCCACAGCCAGAGAGCAGGAATGGATGGGATATTGGGAGGGTGGGCAGGCCCTGGCACAGGGTGCCCAGAGCAGCTGGGGCTGCCCCTGCATCCCTGGCAGTGCCCAAGGCCAGGCTGGACTTTGGGGCTTGGAGCAGCCTGGGACAGTGGAAGGTGTCCGTGCCCATGGCAGGGGTGGCACTGGATGAGCTTTAAGGTCCCTTCCCACCCAAACCATTGTAGGATTCCATGGTTCACACAGGGATATTGATCCTGATCACCCCATCCTCTCCCCCTCATTTCCCAGGCTGTTTTGGGGTGGTTTGGGCGTCGCTGTGCTGTCACTCACCTCACACCCACAGGCCAAGGTGGGAGTGCAGGTGTGGCCCTGCCTGCCTCTCTCCTGCCTGCTCCCCACGGCCGGCCTCCAGGATCTGTCGCCTGTCCCTGAATTCTCTTTTGGGATGAAGGTTGTTCCTGCCATCCCTGCTGCCACTGAATGTGAAACAATGTGTCACAGCCCCAAATCTCGGGTTTTGTGTTGCTGAAATGCCTCCCGAGGTATTAAAGAGTCTTTTTTCCCAGCCCCACAACTGAAGAAGTCGAGGTTCCTCGGCTCTGCTTTTCAAGGTTGTTTATTTTCTCTTTATCTGTTCCATTCTTTCTCTGACCCACTATGGTCTGTCCAGCAGGTCAGGTTGTGGCACACTCACTGCCCTTGGGGTGGTGTTAGCTTTTTATACTAAGAACTACATGTACTTTATTTACCATAATTTCCCAATACCCATCACCTATGTTAGACAGTCTGTCTCTACTCTAAACCAATCCAGAAGTGTCACAATCCCAGCAAAAGATGGAGGATAAGAAGGACAGGACACGCTCAGATTCCTCCATCTTGCCTCTTGAACCCCCATTCTAAATCCTCAAAATTCTCATTTTTCACCCTGTGACAAATTCACTATCATTCTACTCAAACCCTTGTGGCTTGTAACTCCTCACACAAAGTTGGTAATTGTTTCCATGGGCTAAAATGGAAGGCACAGGTGTCTTTGACTCCGTGCCAAGGTCTCTGAGCCCCCTGCCAGGGTCTCGAATCACCCAGGGCAGCCAGAGGGATGTCCTGGGTTCCGACACCCGAGCAGCCTCACCCCTCCTCAGGGTCCCCCTCGGCCCGTGCCGGGCACGGTCCCTGCAGCCAGGCCCTGTTCCAAGGGCAGCAACTCCATGAGGTGGAGGCTCTAAAAAGGAGTTGTTAATAGAGTTGTTAATAACCCTCCAGGAGCAGGGTCCGGGGATGCTCTCTGGCGTCCCCTCCCCTGCTGGGGACCGGCTGGGGCTCCCCAGGTCTCGGCTCCGGTAAATCCCCCCCCCGAGCCCCGCTGCCTCCCCGGCCCCCGGAGCCTCCGCCGGGCCCGCCCGCCTGAGGGCAGGGCTCCGTGACGTCATCCCTCTGCGCCCGGCCCCGCCCCTCCGCCCCCCCGCCCGGCCGCCGCCGCCATGGAGTCGAACCGGGACGAGGCGGAGCGGTGCATTGGCATTGCGCTGGCCGCCATCAAAGCCAACCAGCCCGACAAGGCCCGCCGCTTCCTGGAGAAGGCGCAGCGCTTGTACCCCTCGCAGCGGGTCCGCGGTGAGCGCCAGGCCGGGGGCGCGGCGGGGGGCCCGGGGGAGCGCGGCCTGAGCGGCTGCCGCCGGGCCTGACCTCTCACCCTCATGGCGCCTGCGCGGTGCGCGCGGGGCACGCCGGGAAAGCGAGTTCATCGGGGGGCCCGGGGCGTGTCCGGGGGTCTGGGGCTGCGGTACCGGCGGGGACCGGCTCCGACGGGCTGGGACCGGCTACTGACGGCTCGCGGCCTCTGTCTTTAGCGGCGGCCCTCAGTGAGGAGGGCGCTGGGAATGGGGGCCGGCTCCGCGCTGCTGTGGGAGCCCTGAGGTGCGGGCACAGCACCCGCTGCTGCCGGAGCAGCGCTGAGGGGAGGGAAGGGGCTTGGCAAGGCGAGGGGAAAGTTCTCAGGGGGCTTCGAAAAGCCCTTCTCCTCCTCCGATTCCTCCTTTCCTATACCTCTATTTTCCTATTACACTCCTATTCCTCCACTTCTCCTCCTGCTGTTTGTCCCCTCGTATTCCTCCTTTTCCTCCCCTATTCCTTCTTTCCTATTCCTCCTCTCCTTCTATTCCTTTTCCCCTGTTTCTGTCCCTCTCCTCCTTCTGTTCTTTTCCTCCTCCTCCTGTTCCTCTCCTCTTCCTGTTTTTCTCCTCCTCCTCCTCTTATTCCTGTTCCTCTCCTCCTCCCATTCCTCCCCTCCCTCTCCCGTTCCTCTCCTCCCTGTTCTTGCATTCCCCTTCGTGTTCCTTCTCTCCTCCTGCTCTTCCTCATCTCTTCCTCTTATCCATCCTCTCCTCCTCATCCTTCTCCATTCCTCCTCCTCTCCTCTTGCTGTTCCTCCTGTTTCCATCGTATTCCTGCTCTCCCTACCCTGTTCCTGCTGTGTTTGCAGACAGACAGACAGACAGGCCGTGGCTGAGCCCACGCTCTCACACGTGTAACAAAACAAGACTCCTCCCCAAGACTTTCTGCCAGATTTTCGTTTGTTTCCATCATTTCCTGAGAGCTTTAATTCATATGGGAAGTGCTTTGTGAAAGCAGCCAAACTCGGTTCTTTCCCTGCATGTTCTTACATGGCAGAATATTATATTATGTAAAAAGCTGTAGATTTTTTTTTTCTTTGACCTCAGCTGAGTTTGGATTCTTTGGCTGAGCTTTGCAGCTTGTTTGCCCCAAGGCTTCCTGTAATCCTGTTTTTTGTTGCACCAGGCCTCTTCCCTCTGCCTCAAACACAGTGTGTGCTGTGCTGTGGTTTTCCTCCCCTCCCTTTCCTCTGGAATTTATACTTTGGTGAAATTACTGGGTAGGAAAAGTGACTTTTGGAGAAAGGCAGAGCCAGCAGGGCAGGTTAATGTTAAACACAACATTTGTACTGATTTATGGCCAAACCCAACCAAGTTTCTCATCCAAGGACCCTTTGCTCCATGTCCTGCTGGCTCTGGATTGGGAAATGCTGCCAGAGATCCCCTGGTGGTCCCTGAGCCTCTGAGGAGCTCCTGGGAAAATCTCTTCCCCAGGAATTCCCCAGGGTTTGGCAACACTCCGCAAACTCTGACCCTGGCTGGGCTTTTTGGGATCAGGGAAGGGTTTTGCAAGGGGATTGCAGCAGAAATCTCCTGTGTCAGGGCACGTTGGCTGAGACACTGTCACACTCTGGTCATCTTTCAGGGGGAGCTGGGGAAAATTTATGGGAAGTTGGGCAAATGTTGGGTAATAAGGGAGGAAAAGTGCCCCTTGGCACGTGCTGGGGAGGGCAGCTCTGAGTTGGCAGAACTGCAGCCTAATTCTGCACTCTCTGCTTCAGTAGTCCCTGAATTTGTGCTGTGCTGGGGCTGCAGAGGGGGCAGAAAGCAGCAGGTTTGGGGCTGTACAGCAAAATGGGACTGAGCTGTGGCCAGCTGTGGGTTTCTGTGCTTGGCTTTGGGAAATGCTCTCTGGGCAGCAGGAGAGGGGGGATTCTGCCCCTGTGCTCAGGTGAGACCCCACCTGCAGAGCTGGCTCAGCACAGGAGGGACCTGGAGCTGCTGCACAGAGCCCAGGGGGGGCACCAGGATGGGCAGAGGGATGGAGCAGCTCTGCTGGGAGGAAAGGCTGGCACAGCTGGGGCTGGGAGAAGGGTGTGTGGAGACCTCACAGCTCCTTCCAGGGTCTCAAGGGTCTGCAAGAAAATTTGAGAGGGATTTCATCAGGAACTGGAGTGGCAGGACAAGGGGGAATGGCTTCCCAGTGCCAGAGGGCAGGGCTGGATGGGATATTGGGAATTAGGAATTGTTCCCTGGCAGGGTGGGCAGGCCCTGGCACAGGGTGCCCAGAGCAGCTGGGGCTGCCCCTGGATCCCTGGCAGTGCCCAAGGCCAGGCTGGAGCAGCCTGGGACAGTGGAAGGTGTCCCTGCCCATGGCAGAGGTGGGAATGGATGGGCTTTGAGATCTCTTCCCACCCAAAGTGTTCTGGGATCAAAATCTCCTGGTAAGCTGTAGGGAACAAAGCCCAAAGCAGCAGGAGGGGTGTGGGTGGGGGAACAGCCTCGTGAGGGGAAATTTAACCTGGAGCAGATTGCTCCAGGTTTGGAAGGAGCAAAACCAAAGATTATCATTCAGTGAACACTGAAGCATTCGAAATATGAGTGAGGGAAAAATTTACTTTTCTAAAAGAAATTAATTTGAAATTTGTGAAGCCCCCAAGCCCAAAAGCTCATCCAGTTACTACTCCTTAGCCCACTGTCCTTGACATCCCTCATCCTCTATTGGCTTTTGGATTCCTGAGTGGATTTTTCTGCCCCCTCTGAGCACTGGGGCCAGATAGGATATCTTGGCTCATCTCTTGGCCTGCAAGTGTTGTTTGCACTTGCCTAAAGAAGGTGATACCCCATAGTGCAAGGTCTGTGCTGTGCAATCCATGGGAGGAGGTGGAACATCCCTCCCAGTTCTGGGGTCTGGATAAAGGACTGCAAGCTCAGGATACTGGGGCCTGTGTAAATATCCCTGGCTGGGTTTCACTGTAGCATGTGTGCCTGTTCTTTTGAGTGGGGCTGAAGAAATCAGTCTGATGTTGGTTTAAAAAGCAGTTTGGAAAGATGGTGCTGTGCAGCTGCCAGGGAAATGCACGATGGAAGGATGCTTGGAGCCTCCCTCCATTGTGTCCCCTGGAGGGTTAGGCCAGGCCTGCATGTTGGAGAGGATGGAAGTGCCTGAGCCTTGCAAGGAGGAGGAGAAAAGGGAAGGTGGATTTGTCCCCCCAGTAACTGAGAGGCAGGATGGGTTTCACAGCTGCTCCCAGTCCCTAGGTAGTGACAGGAGAACAAAGTGCCCCTGTGAGGAGCTGGCAGCCAGCAGTGCTGCAGCTCTGTCCCCAAAAGGGGAGTGTCCCTGGGGGATTGACAGCCCACAGAATTGTTTTCTAAGCTCTCTAAAGACATGGCATTGTCACATCACTTCCCCAGCACTGTAGGCTCTGAAAAGCAGGCGATAAAGAAGAATAATACACTTTATAATGTGCTGGAGGACACATTTGGACATGGTTTGCTGTCGAGGAGAGATGGAAGGGAAAAAAGGACAGGGAGACACTGCTTTGCTGATCTGCTGTGGCTCCTGGACTGTCTGGGTGGTCCTGGGGTTTTTGTGGAGGTTTTGTGTGTTGGGAGCAGCAGAACATCTTCAGCAGTGGCCCTCACACCTGGGTGAGAAGCAACAGGAGCTGAGAGATTACATGGGAGGAAAGGTGAGGCTCTTCCTGGGGAAGGCTGGGGGGGCCTTGGGAAGGGGGCAGAGATGAAGAGGAATCTCTTCATGGGAGAGCTGGAAGGGCAGGCTGAGCTGGGTGCTTTGCTCTCGATGTTTTTGTTTCTCTCGTTTCAGTTCTGCTTGAGTCACTCAACAAGAACGAGCAGTCAGCCAATGGCCAGTCCCAGCCCAGGGAATCCACAAACCCTCAGTTCAGGAGAATGAGTGGAGATTTCCCATCAGCCAACGGAGAGGCTGGGGGGGAGGCCCCCAAGGGCTACACTCAGGACCAGCTGGATGCAGTGAAGAGGTTTGTGCACAGCTCTCTGGGGCATTTGTTTGACTTTATCCCATGGTACCCATCTGCTTTTCACAATATTTTAAAGATTTCAGCTTTGAACCATTTGGAGTAGTGTTAAGAGCATGCCCAGGAGGATTTATAGCTCCAGCAGGCCTGGTGGGCAGCTGGCTTGGGTCTGCTCGTTTTCCAAACCCAATAAAGGGAAGTTCCAAGCTTCCCTTTATTCCTTTGTCCCATTTGCCCACCCTGGAAGCTGAAGGACCAAGCTGCAGGTGCAGTCACTTGGTAAACTTTGTTTAAGGTTATGGGCATGGCCTGGATTGTGCAAGAACCACTTCAAGGGACTTGCAGGAATGTTTGTTACATCATCCACCTCTCCAAAAACCCAGCCTGCTGGATTCTGTCTCATCATGTAAGAAGCAGAAGCCTTGGCTGGGCTGAGTGTGCCCAGGCAGGATGGGCTGCACACCCTGGGCTGCTCCCTCCTTCCTGCTCTGCAATTCAGCTGATGCAAGTTCTACATCTGGGAATTAGCTGAGGAGAGGTGGGGAGGGAAAGGCCAATCTCCTTCAGGTGCTGTAGTCCTTCCCAAACAGTCTCCAGCACATGGACATGATGAATGTGAAGTTTATTTGCCAGTCACATTCCTGTGTGGGTCTGAGGGGAGGCCCTTCCTCCTGCACTGGCCCAACTCGTTCTGTGCTGGGTCACCCTCTGAGAGCAGGGGCTGAGTAATCCACAGATCCCTGAGCAACACCCTGAAACTGTGCTGCCTGAAAAGTCTCAGAGCTGACAGCTATTCAAGACAAAGAGGTTTTTACTCCTGGAACTCAGTGCTTGCTCCCCTCTCCCCTGGCAGGGTAAAGCAGTGCAAAGATTACTATGAAATTCTGGGAGTCAACAGAGAAGCTTCTGATGAGGATCTGAAAAAGGCCTACAGGAAACTGGCCCTGAAGTTCCACCCGGACAAGAACCATGCACCAGGGGCCACAGAGGCATTCAAAGGTAAAGCCAGCTCCACATTTGTGGTTTGCCCCCAACTCTCACTGAGAGAACCCTTAAAAAACAGCCCCACAAGTCAGGCAGAGTGACATAAAGCTGCTCTTTGTGAAGCTGTCTCCCTTCAGAGCTGGTCATGTCATGACCAAAGTATGAGCTTAAAATAATAAATACAGGCTGGCAAGGTAGGACTCACCTCTGTTGGCTGGGTAAGGAGAAGCCTTCCTTCTCTTTCTCCCAGCAGCTCTTCCCTTCCCTGTGTGTTCCCTGCTCCAAGCTCCTGTCTCACTGCTCAGGAGGGAATTCTGTCAGGAATAACCCAGTTACACCAGAGGCAGACTCAGGGCTCACAAACCCCTCAGGAGAAACATTCCAGGAAACACCCAACCATTTGTGGATGGAACTGGTGGATAGAAATCCCAGGTGGAAGTTTCTAGGGTGGAACTGCAGCAGCCATACAAGTGAGCCCAGCAAAAACTCAGAAAAGGAGCTCTGGTTCTGCTGCAAAGAGCCCAATTCTCAGAGCCTCTCTATAAATGCAGCAGGGATGTTTCCTGGGTAATGAGACACCTTAAGATTGGAGTAATTTTCCAAGAGAGATGCTATTGCTTGGAACATATAATCCCATTTTCCCCTGCAAGCTGTGGAAGTTTGATTATTATCATTGAGCTGAACACAGAGCTCCTTGGTGCCAGTCATACAGCACTGGTTTGGAAGCCATTAAAATAATCTGATTCTGCCACTTTTTTAGAAAGAAATTCTTTACTCAAGACAGTTCTGAGGCTCTGGCACAGGCTGCCCAGAGAAGCTGTGTCTGCCCCTGGATTCCCTGGAAGTTTTCTAGGCCAGGTTGTACAGGGCTTGGAGCAATCTGGGACATTGGAAGGTGTCCCTGTCCATGGCAGGGGGTGGAATGAGAGGGTCTTCAAGGCACCTTCCACCCCAAAGCAGCCAGATTTTGGGAGTGAAATGCAGGAGCCCTTTGCTGGAGCAGGGAGCAGGGCTGGTCTGATGTCAGTGCACTGGTACAGTATTCAGGTGAGCTCCTCACAGACGCAAATTCAGCAGTAAAAGTCTTGGGTAAGGTTTGTTCAAGCCTTTTAAGACTTAAATCCTTCCCTGATAAGAGTTAGCAAAGAGTGACTGACCCCCAGCTACCTGGGAGAGCCCGTGCTGGTGTGGGGGCAGATGAAAGGGCATCTGCACACAGCTGTCAGCTCTGCCTGTGCAGTGCTGCTGCTGCACAGCTCATCCTTGGATCCCTCAGTGGCCAAAGGCAGGTTTCCTCACCTGTAATCTTGAATAATGATGTTTGCCCAAGGCTTTGGCAGGAGTTACGTGCCAGAAGTGGAGCGTTAAGCAAAGTGCCCTTTATCCCCCACTGTGGGGTTATCTCCTCCAGGCCTTGCCTCCATGGCTTCCTGTCCTTCAGCCCCTGAGCTGAGCTGAAGTCCAGCTGCTTGGTTCCAGAGGGTGAAGGGGGAAACGTGCCCTGCTGTGAGGATATGAGTTAATTTTTCCTAATGTTGATGGATTAGCTGAAGTCTTGGCATTCGCCTTCCCAGTGACCGCTGATAAGGTGCTGAGCCCGTGCCTCAGTGTACAGTTCCAGCTGGCTGCAGGCTGCCTCGTGGCAGATCTGCATCACTGCCTGTCTGCTCCTGGAAAAAGCCTTCAGCCTGGCTACTTGGAACTAAAATCCTGCCTTGGAATGAGGCATTTCTTGGGCTTTGTCAGCACAAAGTCAGACAGTGAAGAAACCCTGAACTGCTCTGTTGTCGTTGCTTCCCTTGTTCTTTCCAGCTGTGTGGTTGATACACTCTGAGTCACTCCTTGTCCAGCAGCTTCCCTGCCTGGCTCTAGAAGTGTTTGCTCTGGGTGCACTAATTATAACCAAGAAGGAGAAGGAGTGTATTGACATTACATCCTCTGCCCTCCAAATCTCCACTCCAAGAAGAAACCGTACACCTCCATCTGGCCATGGGGAAATGCTGAATCTTGGAGCTGATCTCCAGATGAGCACATTATTCCCCTTTTCCCCCTGTTCCATCCCTTCTGCCCCTGCCTTTTACACCCCAGGCACCTTCTGCCATGGGCATTTTGGGTCTTTGTGACACAGGGAGGCCTGGGGTGGCTGGGTACAGAGGAAAGTGGGAAGTTGGAATGTGTGGAGAGGTGAGTAGAGAAACAGGAGGATGGCAGGCAGACATTCTGGGAAATGGGCTGAAACTCCTGAGGCTGGAAGGAGAGGGACCCAGGGACCTGGCAGGGGTTTAGCTCCAGTACATTTCCAGCCTCACAGGCACTGGTTAACAGTCCTTGTAATTATGCACCTTGTATATGACATCTGGAAGAGCTGAAACTCTTAGCTGATGGATGCAACTTCTGGCTAATGTTTCCTTAGCAGCTTTTATGGAAAGTTTTAAAGTCCCTTTCAGGGATTTAGCCCGTATTTAAATTCTTTGCAGTTCTAGTTGTAGGCTCTGACAATAAATTCCCTTAGTGCCACTTTTGAATAAAATTTGTCAACTAAAATTTGATTTCCCTACACAGCTGAAGGGTTTCTCTGGGGACATGCACCAAACCCTTATCATTTGAATGAATTAAGGAATTTTTCCCTGCGTGGTTTCCTCCTGCCTGGCTTTGCCCGAGCCGCGTGCCAGGTGCCCATTGCAAAGACGCTGGGGCAGCCGAATCTCTCGCTTTGCACGATGAGAAAGGCAAACGCTGGCACTGTGCGGGGCTGCAGGTGGGAGGAAGGAGCTGATTGAGCTGATTCTTCCTCCCTGTGTGCCACAGCCATCGGGAACGCGTACGCCGTGCTGAGCAGCCCCGAGAAGAGGAAGCAGTACGACCAGTTCGGGGACGAGAAGCTCAGCGCCGCCCGCCATGGCCACAGCCACGCCGACTTCCACCGCGGCTTCGAGGCCGACATCTCCCCCGAGGACCTCTTCAACATGTTCTTTGGGGGTGGCTTTCCTTCCAGTAAGCACCTTCCAGCTGCATTTCTCCTCCTTTTGGTGTGGTTGGGATTCTTGAGGCTGCGCTGGGTTTGGTGAGGGGGAGTTCTCCCTCCACGTGTGGCCTCGAGTTTCTTGAATGGTTCATCTTTGGATAGCTCAGCAGCCATCAGAGCTGGACTGCTTCCCAGCCTCAGGTGTTTGTTTGCGTGCTGGCAACATCAGCTGCTGTTAGGGCGGGTTGAATGCTAGAACAAAAAGTGACTTGTTTTAAGGGTTGTTGTGAAAATAATCCTGTCTTGAGGAAGGCTTTTCTGCCTGGTGGTTTTGGAATTTAAATCTTCTTATCAGAGCAAACTGTGGTAACACCTGGGCCTTGTTCTTGATCTCTGTCTGCTCCACCACACAGCTAGAACAGGTTTTCCAAGATCAGTGAGATCAGTGGCCACTTCCTTCTCTCCCCTGTGCCCCCCCCCCCCCAAAAAAAAGGAAAATAGTATTTCTACAGCATAATTTAGACCTTGTGAATTGAAAAATAAATCTGTTCCTTTACTTGCTCAAAAGACACAGATTCCATGTCAGGAGAAGGGTATTTTGGAAGACTCCTTTGTATTTGTTCCACTCAAACCTGACTGGAAGTGGACACAGGGCTTCTTGGACCTCTGTGGACCAACTTGAAAAAAAAAAATTTGGTTTCAGTTAAGAAAATTCAGTCTGGTAGCTCTTTCCTGTCTGGAATCTGAGCACTAACACCCCAACACCAGAGGCTCAAAAGCATCTGGAAGCCTTTTGCAGCATTTGTGCTCTGCCTGGCAGAGAGGCCAAGAAGCTACTCCTGCAAAAACAGCATGTTGCTATTTCAGCTCAGTCTCTTTTTCCCTTTCCTCGCTGTCCTGAGAGAATTGAGGGCTGCTCTCTCAGCCTGGCTCCCTTTGCAGCTGTAGCTTTGACATTTAAAACAAGACATGGAAGAGCTTTGTTGGCAGGGTGGAAAAAAGCCCAGAATTATTTCTGTTTGTAACTGGTTTTAATCTATTCCATCAGAAGGGAGAAGGCCTGTGCAGGGTGTTCTCTCTCTGTAGCTGACCCTGCTCTGGGCAGGAGGTTGAACTTCCTGAGGTCACTTCCAAGCTGAGTTTTCACACAATCCTGCAAAATCTTACAGAAGGAGCTCTGTGCCCACTCTGCACTCAAACCACCTCAGGAATATCCTGTTTCAGCCTGTAAGCAGGTGAAACATGGATCATGGCCACCTTTTGTGGTCCCTCGCTGGCCAGGCGGCAGCAGCCTCATACTCCACACTGTGACTTTGGAGTAAGAGTTTTCTTCTTCCTCCAGGCAATGTGCACGTGTACAGCAATGGCAGGATGAGGTACACCTACCACCAGAGGCAGGACAGGCGGGAGCACCAGGGGGATGTAAGTGGAAAACACCTGGCACCTGGGAGGCTGGAGGTTTTCCCAGCACAGCACTGGGAGCTGGTTCCTGGGCCTGGCTTGTGAAACAGTCCTGCTTGTTGCCACCCTCTCAAACAGAAAGCTGGAGCCAGGGTTATTATGGCTGTTGTCTGGACAGAGCCAATTTCATTGTAAAAAAACAAACAAGAATTTCCTGGATATTTTTATCTCCAGCTTGAAGGTGGAACTGAAGGGAGCTTAGGAGGTGAGGGAGAGGGGGAGTTACCTTCATCTGTCCAGCACTGGAAAGGGGAGAAGGCCATCCATAAAACCAGTCCTGCTCCCTAGTTTGCTCTAGAAAAACGAGCTGTGGGCATGAGGCTTTTGGAATTCCCTGCCAGGGCTCCCCCTGGCAGTGCCCTCTGCCCATTGTCACATCCAGAGAAGGGCCAGGGGGGTTGGACCCTCAGAGTCACACTGTCCTGTGGGCTGCTGGGTTCCCCCTCACACTGTCCTGTGGGCTGCTGGGTTCCCCCCAGCTAGTTTGGGCCACTCCCTGTGAAAAGCAGGAGAGAGGAGGTTGTGTTGGAGCACTGGGAGGGAAGGAGGGAGGGAGGTGCCGTGGGGTCCTTGTCCAGCTGTGTGGGTGGCACTGCACTGTGTGTTTCTGTTCCCTCAGGGTGGCCTGGGGCTGTTTGTCCAGCTGATGCCCATCCTCATCCTGATCATCGTGTCAGCTCTCAGCCAGATGATGGTCTCCAGCCCACCCTACAGTTTGAGCCACAGGCTGTTAGTACCCATTCCTCTAAACCTTACCCACATGGGGAGGGGGTGGCCTCTGGAGGGGTGTGGTGGGGCAGGGATCTTCCCTCTGTTCTTCCTTTGGGTTTTTTTGCTTCATCTCCTGACCCCGTGGCTCCTGCTGCCAGTGAAGTCTTTGTGGTTCCCACACAGGTGTGAGATACAAGGTGCAGGGAGAGTTGGAGAGTGCTCAGTTCCCTGATGGAAAGAGTTCCTTGCCAGGGACCTTCTGCAGTCCATACCCACAGCTGTGTCTGTCATGGAAAGGGACAAAATGGTTTGGGGAGGCTGCAGGCCAGCACTGAAATCCCATCTGGAGTAAATTGAGGTGCAGAGTGTGAAAAACAAAAGCCATGTTCTCCATGAAAGCCTTAGCACAACACAGCAGAGGAGGAGGATAAGGAATAAAAGTCACTCCCAGAGAAATCCCCTCTTTCTGAGCTCTCATCTTGCCATGAAATAGCTTTGGCCAGACACTGAGGATGTGAAAGTGAAACTGCTCTGTTCTAGATCTGTGGAAATGCCCCATCTGCTCCCTCTGGTGACTAATGGAATGTGTCCTCATTCTTAGTCACTGTGCAGTGCTAACAAAGAGTGGGAAAACAGGCTTGGTTTCTGTCTGCTTGCATCATTCCTGGCAAAGGCTTGGTGCATGTTCAGTGTGAGTTCTTATGTGCATTTAGAGAGGGCAGACCTGGTGTTCCTGCCTATTTTCACAGGTAGCAATATTTCCATTGATTATAGAATCCCAGAAGGCTTTGGATTGCAAGGGACCTTAAAATTACCTTGTTCCAGCCCTTGCCATGGCCATGGACACAGCCCACTAGACCAGGTTGCTCCAAGCCCCATCTGACCTGGCCTTGAACAATTCCAGGGGAGGGGCATGATGTTAAATACTATCAAACCCAACTCAGATTCAGAGCAAAGACTGTGGCATTGGTGCTTGGGACCAGAAGATGGGATGGTTTTGGCACAGTTCAGGGTCATTCTGAGAGGGTGAAGGGTGTTGAGCTGTGATTTCCACAGCTGGCATTAGCATTGTAAAACTAAGCATAATCCACATGGACCAGTTTGGTTAAACTGGTGAAGAGTCTGTGGGGTGAGAAGACACAGAAGGGAGGGAGCATTTAAGTGGGCAGGGATTTGCTTCCAGCCTTGCCAGCTGCCAGAGGAAGCCATCCCTGAGCCCCAGATGTTTCTCTGCTGCCCCATTCCCTGTTCCCTGTCTCTGCACACTCAGGTAGCAGCAAGCAACCCTATTTCCAAGGCTGGATTTGGACAAGGATGGGAAGTGAGCTCCTGCAGCCCTGCCAGAGGCTTCCTGAGCAGGCAGGGTTTTGGAGCTGGTTTGAGGTGCTGCAGGGCCGGCAGGAGGAGCTGCTGCATCACTCACTGGGAAGGGAAAGCTGTGCCTCAGCTCAGGAGCAGGGGAACAGAAGCTTTGAACCCACAGATTTAAATGTGTGGAAGTGAAGTCCATAGTGAAGGTGTCACTGAGGAGGGCAGAGTCCTAAAGAACCACTGTTACCTTTGTAAATCTCTTCCAAAAAGGATCTTCCTGCTGGAAGAGCTGCCTGGCTGTGGGCCTGATTGTTACTGCTCAGTAACACCTCATGGAATTGGCCTGACTTAATTGCATGGCTGACTGCAGGTGACAGTTTCTTGTGCCCTGATTTTCATGCTTCACACCCCAGTGTGCTGCTGCAGCCCTGCCATTCCCAATCCTTCTCCTGTGAGGGCACACTCTGCAGTCCCATCTTTATCCAGGAGAGGAATATGAGCTTTGGGAGAGCTCAGGGCTCTGTCTTGACAGAGAAAATAGTGAACTTGGCTTTTTCCAAGCTGCACCTCTGCCTTGAGAAATCCCAGCAGAGCTCTGTGCTCCTGTTCAGCCCATTCAGTTACCCAGCACTGGGCCTTGGTGAAACATGCAGGAGCCTTGGGATCCCACCTGCATCCTCTGATAACAGACTGAAGGGTGAGCTGGATGAGTTCATGTTTAGAGCTGGCTCAAGAATCAGGCTGCTCTCAGTGCAGCAGCAGCTGGTGTTTATCACAGGGAGCTTTGGGCACGTCTCCAGGTGGAGCCCTTGTGGCAAATGCAGCGTTTGGGCCCAGCTCCTGTGTTACAGCTCACACACACGCCCTAGGGAGGGTCTCTAGGTTTGCTGGGCTGTCAGGGGAGGCAAGAGCAGGGCTTTGTCTGAAATGCAAATCCACTGGGCCAGGGGAGGAAGAGATTTCCTTCTGGAAAGTTCTTTCTGTGCTGGTTGATGCAGGCCAGGGCACAGAGCGGGTCCCATCTTGCGAATGGAGGAAATCACAGATTTAATAATTGAACGAAAATTCCAGGGAACATTTTATTTTAATTAATGGGCAATGTATCTTGGAGTTATGTGTGTATTCAGAGCCCTGCCCACCTTGCTGGAGGCCTGGCAGCTTCTCTCTCCCTGTGTTGGATTGGTTTCCACCAGAAATGCTGCTCCCTTCCACCTTCCAAGCCGGTGGCTGGATAGGGGTGAGGGATGTTTCCTGCTGTTTGGAATCACACCACCCAAGCTGGGGGCTTTGCTGTGCCCTTGAAACGTGTCCCACACTGCTGTGCTCTTGTCCCTGCACCAGGTCTGTGGGTCACACACACAGGAGGGTCACAGAGCACTTGAAAGTCCCCTACTACGTGTCCGAGAGCTTTGCCGAGGAGTACACGGGCACGAACCTGAAGAACGTGGAGCGGAGCGTGGAGGATGACTACATAGCAAACCTTAGGAACAACTGCTGGAGGGAGAAGCAGCAGAGTGAGTAGTGAGGGGTCAGCAGCTGCTCCATGGGCTGGCTTTGGAATGTCTTTGACTGAGGACTAAGTCGTGCTGAAGTTATACTTTAACACGGTGCCAGCACATTTCCTGTGTCGTTGGCTTTGTTTTTTCCAGTCTATGACTTCATGACAGGCCCGGTATGTGGGGGTTTTTTGTTTTGTTTTGCTTTTTAATGCTGCTGCAGAACTGGTCAGACAGGAGCTGTGCCCCAGAGGTTCCCCTGCCGTGTCAGCAGGATACCTCTGATTTCCAGTGGAGGGGGAAGGTAGAACCTCCAGGATCCCTGCTAGCCCTGTGTCATATTTCAGTTGTTCAAGGATGGTGCTGGAAAGTCTGCTGCCCATGGTGTCATGGTCCCACATCCCACCCCTGCTCCCAGGGGGCTGCCCAGGCAGACGATCCAGCCAGACATCCTGGCAGCAGAGGGTGGTGAGGGCAGCGAGTCCAGGGGCAACCTGTGTGCTCTGGCTGCTGTAGTGGTCACAGCTCTTGGAGCACTGACTGGGATAGGATTTCAGCTCTGGAATGCCAGAGGGGCTGTGATCATCCCTGGGCGGTGCCAAACTCACAGAGCCCTGCTGGGGTAACCTTTGTGTGGGCTGCCCATGCACATCCTGGCACTGGAGCCGGGTTCCCTTGGCTTTTCCCAGGATGGATGAGCTGTCAGCAGCTCTTACGCCCATCCTGTCCCAAAGGGCGCGGGGCATTTCCTCATCCTCATCCTCATCCTTTGCTCCACCTTGGACAGCTGGAGGTGCCTCCTGTTCCCAGCAGAGCCGGTGGGGGAGCAGGGCCTGGCAGGGGAGTCCCTTCCAGAGGGCATTCCTGACCCTGAGCTTTTCCCTTTGCAGAGGAAGGCTTGTTGTACCGGGCACGCTACTTCGGGGACTCGGACCTGTACCAGCGGGCACAGAAGATGGGCACCCCCAGCTGTAGCAGACTGTCAGACGTCCAGGCCTCCCTGCACGGATAGTGCCAGCCCAAGTACGAGCCGGGAGCAGGGAACCCCAGTGTTGTTCTCACTGAAAGCCCTGAGTGAGACCCAGCCCTCCAGGAGTGTCCTGGGGGCGCACACGCGCAGCCTCCCCTCCGCCGGCGCTCCCGCGTTAATCGGGAATCGATTGGGTTTCGTTTGCATGTCGGCTCCCCCGGCTCTCTCCAGGCTCCCTCTTTTCTCTGGCCTCTAGGAGCAGGGCACAATCCCTTGGTGAGGTTGGGAGTTTCTTAGGCGCTGTGGCATCCAGCCCCCACTTTTTAATGATCCCTTGGTTTTGGTTGCTTTGGTGTCTGTTTTGCTGGGAAAGCTGTTAGCCCTGGCACGTGACAGGGAATGGAGTCCCACCCAACAGATGTTCCTTGTCCCCCCTCCTGTTGCCTTCCCATTCAAGGAGAACAAAGCAAATGTTCCCAGCAGGTTGTAGAAGTAGCTTACTGGGTTAAACTGGCAATCAAAGGAAGAGCAGCTGGGGGGGAGGTCTGGAAGATTTGGGGGTTGGAGAGCTTGGATTAAGGAGAGCCCGGATAACACATGTGAGATCAGATGTGCTGGGAGAACTGCACCAAAATAACAGAAAAAATTGCCACAGGGTTTGGAGTCCTTTTTCTGCATAAATTTTTGGGCTCATTTCACCTACCAGGTACTGCTGGGCTGCCTGTGAAATGTGCAGATCCCACTATCCCAAAATTATCTGAGCACAGGATTTCTATAGAAAAACTCCTGAGTGAAGCTTGTTCCAGGTGTTGTATGGACACCATTCCAGCTCACAGGGACTCCTTGAAGATGCTGGCTGCTGAGCTGCTTGATCTGCACTTTTGGGGGTTGTTTTCCTCAGCATCTGAAAGTTTGGCCTTTAAAGCAAATCCTCTGGGGCACACTGGGCTTTTCCTTGGGTGTATCCTGGTTTTGGATCCGTTCCTACCTTGATCCTCCCGCTCTCTCCTTTGGACGACTGCGCCTCTTCTGGTGTTAATTACCTGCTTTTTTTTAATTCCCTCCCTGCACCCGTGCTCTGGGAAGAGCCTGGAGAAGCTGCTGCCTGTGCTGTGGGGTGGGGAAGCAAGGGGGAGTCACAGATTGGCCTCAGACTGACACCGCTGCCGCTTTTGTTCCCAGAGCGTCCAAACGCCCGAAGACTTTTGGGGAAGTGCACTGAGCCGAGGTGACAGACTTTGCTCTTTAAAAAGAATCAAACCTTACTTTAAACATGGAATTGGAGAATTAGCAACGCACAACTGCCCCTCTTTCTTCTCTCTGCCTCTCTCTGACGATGGCAGGCAGCGCTTGGGACAGGAAATCCAGCTCTCTGTCTTCCTCCTCCCCTCCCAACGCTGCTGGCGTGCTCCCAGGATCCCACAAGGATCCCACAGCCCCTGGAACAGACACACAGAGTGTAAAAGAACCCAGACTAACTGTAGAAGCCTGAAGCAGAAGGAGACCCTTCGCCGCTGCTAATGGAGAGAGAAGTGGGATTTTGTTGATAAAAGAAGACACTAAAGAAAAAGAAGAGAAAATATAATCTATTTAGCATTAATTTATAGCTGTATATATGTTGTACTTTTAAACTATGCAGGGGTTGGATGATTAAATTATTTTGGTTTCTGCCCATTTTGGGGAGCAGGGCAGCAGGAAGCCTCTTCCCAGCGTGTCTCTGTCCACAGCACTTTCCTGCCTGGAAAACAGGAATCCCTTTGCAGTTGCTGTCCTTTGCTCCTGGGAGGACATTCTGTGGATGGGGACGTCCATACACCTGCTCTTGGGGTTCTGATGACACCAAACCCCAAAGGTGCAGGGCTCCCAGAGAAGGGGGGAGCCCGTGCAGAGCCGTGGATTTGCAGCGTCGGCGGAGCCGGGGGTCAGCTGAGCCGCCAGCCAGGGGAAGGATTGTCCTGGATGGATTTTGCTCGTCAGTCTTTGGTTGATTTGTGCATGTAACTCCTTTTTCTGCCGAGTCTGCTGGAATTCTGCCTGGTAATCAGCGTGCTCCATGCAGAGAGGGCTTTCCAACAGCCCTTTGTTGGGAGGTGCTGTGCTCATCCCCCCAGGCACCCAGCCCTGCCCTCACACCCCGCCTCGTGTTTCCTGCAGGACACCTGCAAAATGCCACAGATCCATTAGGAACAAAGCATTCTGTTGGAAGAAGTTCTGCTGGGGGAGATCAGGGGGTGTCTGATCTGCCCTGTGCCTGCCCCACCATGGGCAGGACCAGCGTGAGCTGCTCCAGGTGAGTGAGGAGCCATCTCTTGGAAGCAAAGCCAGCACGAGCAGAGCCACTTCCCATGGAATAAACTGGATTATTTAATTTTTTGGGTTTTTTTTTTTTGTTTTTGCTGCTCTGCAGCTCATTTGTGTCTAAAGACATTTCCAGTGCAAACCCTGGCACGGTCAGGGGATTGAACTGGGAGCACAGCAGCTCCCGGGTGGGCTGGCAGAGGAGGTTTTATCCCGTTGTCCTTAGGAATCCATGCGCTCTGTCTTGGCTGTTTATTTATTTTGTGAAATCTCAGCCTCCCGTTGGCTGCAGGCCCTGTTATCCCACAGCCACCACGGCTTGGACCTGATTTTAAGGGGTTTTATTATTTCTTTTTTTTTTAATGGTTCCTCCACCTTCAGAAGAAATTGGGTGGAAGTTCAGGAGTGGAAATGGCGCTCGATAGAGGCACAGGGATGATGGGGACGGGGTTGAACCAAAATCCTGCTCACAGAAGGAGCTGGATGTGTTGCCCAGTGCCATTCCCTGCCTGGAGCCTGCCTGCCAAAACCTTCAGGTTCTTTTTCCTGGTAGATACCCACGGATCACAAGGAGGGAGAAGGCATCGATCCCAGTGGATGCTCACAGAGGCTGTATCTCTCGATTTAGTTAATTATACAATTGTACATCTATAAATAAATGTTTATAATGTGAAAGGCTCCAGCTGGGTTGGTGTCCTGTGGATTCCCTGCTCCAACCAGCTCTGGTTTTGCAGCTTCTCAGTGGTGGATGGAATTTGGGGTCTTTGCCATCCCAAAGGCCCTGTGGGGGCTGCCCAGAGGTGCAGAGGGAAGGACAGGGAGGGGATGGAGAGGTTGTGGTGCCCCTGGCAAGGTGACAGCAAGCACCAGCAGGGCACCTTTGCTTCAGACCTGCTCTGCTGGGGTGTTCCCAGAAGGGCCTTCCTCCCATTAGCCCCTCATCCTCTGGCTGAGCCTTATTCTCACCCTAGGGTGCCACCTGGCAGCATTATCCTGGCATTGGAAGGAGCCCTGTGGGCACCTTCCCCATCAGGTGGGCAGGAAGACTCTGGGCTGCCTTTGTTCCAGGCAGAGACACTGCCTTGGGTGCCCTTCCTGCTGGCAGGGGTGGGATCTGCCAGCTGCTGGCCCCAGAGCCTTGGTGTGGATTTGGTATGGGTCTCTTTTCCTCCCCACTGGAGGAAGTGGTGGAAGTACTTTTGGTACATCAAAGCACTGGAAGCTTTGGGTGGGAATTTCCCCCTTTTCCCCCTTCTCTCAGAGGGAAGAGTGGGAATTTCTCCCCTTTCCCTTTTTTCCCCTGCTCTCAGAGGCCAAGGGTCAGGTCCCTGCCATTCCCCCTCTGTGGTGAGTCAGCCCTGCCAGCACAGGGCACACCCACAGCCCAGGTTTTGGGGTGGTTTTGCTGCATTTTGGGTCATTCCCAGCCCGGAGCAATGGGAGACACTCTTGAATTTCAGGGTGTGCTGGTCCCTGCCCACTCACCAAAGGTGTGGGTGGTTTGAGCTGCCCATTAGCTCGTTAGCCCAAGCTTTTAATTGGAGCGGCTGCCAAAGGCAGGGAGGCATCAAAGGCAGGCAGGTGCTCCAGGAACATCCTCCTCTGGCAGGTAGGGAGCCAAGCAGACCTCTCTTGCCCCCATCATTGTTTTTGGTAGGAAAAACACGAGGGTTTAGCACTATCCTGGGATTTAATCCCTCATTTGCATTATTGCTGCTGATGCCCCCAAAAATCTCCCTTTCTGCTGCTGGCACCTGGGATCCCTGGGCTGATGCCGGTGCCACAAATAGCCCAACACTTCCCAGGTCCCAAAATATCCCTCTGCATAACCCCTGCCATGGGAGACATTTGATCCAGCCTCGCTGGAAGCTTCTGCACCTTCCAGGGAGCTGCCAAACCCCAAGGACCTTGAGACTCCCCCAAATTTCTCAGGGAAAGGCCATTTTGCTATAAATAAAAGCAAAGTTTCACCTTCATAGCTGGGGCTGTGACTGGGTGGTGCCACACAGAAGGTTTTGCTGGGCACCCCCAGGACAGAGGCTGTGTTGGCTTTTGGGAGTTTTGGTGGGGTTTTCTTTTGGTTTTCTTGGTGTGATAATTTAAAAAAATTGGATGTGGAGCCCTTTGCCTTCCCTGAGAGTGGCTGGTGGGGGTGACAAGCAGGGGTCATGCTGCTGCTGGCAGCACAGGAGCAGGGCCACCCCTTTAGGAGCTGGCTATTTAAAACTCCCCGTGTTTCTGGAGCTGTGAATGCACGGCCAGAGCCAGGGGCAGGGCTGGCAGCACCACCAATCTCCTGCTGTGCCCTCCCTGGGATCTCCAGCCCCGGCTGCCCAGGGAACTCGGGCTTTGGAGCTCCCTTTCCACCCCTCTGTGTCTCCAGGGGTGGGTTGGTGCTGGATGACCCCACAGGGGATGCCCCTCACGTGAAGGGGGCATGCTCTAGCATGTGACCCTTTGAGAAATGCTCCAAACCCCAAAATTTTAGGGGAAATCCTCCCCTCTTTGCACACATGTGTGTAAAGGCGCATTTCCAGCTGTGCGAGCCTGGCACTGCTCATTGCCCTGACTGCTGCGAGGTGATATTTACACCAACACTCCAGTTATGGGTCATGCATATCAAAAACAAGGATTTTATGGTGAAAATTCTCATCAACAAGTCAGTGTTTGTCTGTCCACAGTGATACAGTTTGTCCACAGGGGTATTAAAAAAAAAAACAAACAAAAATCAAACAAGACAGGGCTGAGCCAGGACAAGCTCACATGTGAATGGAAATGGCTTTTCAGGCTGGTTTTATCCCCCCCCCCCTGCACCTTCCACGGTCTGCTCGTTTGCCAAGCAGCTTAATTACCCTTGAGTGAAAGCCTCTTCCCCGAGGCCTCTAATTGCAGGTTTGGGTAATTGGCCTCAGTGTTGCAGAGTGTGTTTGGGGCTGGGCCGTGCTCCCCTCCCCGGCAGGTGTGACCCTCCTCCTCCTCAGTCCCAGTTTTTGAGCCCATTCTCCGGGGTTTCTGCCCCAGGAGGAGCAGCAGCCGCTCGCTCGGTGTTGGGGGCTCCTGGCTGGGCTTGAGCAGCTCGGGGTCCTGACTCAGCCCCCTGAGTCACAGCCCCATGAGCAGTGGGGGCAGTGGGATTCCCCACCATTCCCAAAACATCCAGCTCCCAACCGCAGGGCTGCCCCGCCAGGGAAAGGCTTCCCGAGGGTGCCGGCTGGGAATTTCAATCCACTGGTTGCATCATCCCTCCCCCAGCAGAGGTGACAACAGGGAGACAGACGGCAGCTTATCAATCAAGACAAGTTTTATTAGAAAAGTAAAAAAAAACCACCCGACACGATTGCATAGGAATTCTCGCACTTGAACATCAAGTGTATGAGTGTAAACTGTAACCAACGGAGTGCCCCCAGCGTGTCGGGGCCAGGGTCCTGCCCTCCGGCCCCTCTCCCGATCAAAGACAATTCCAGCCGGGCTCGGCCTTTGATCCAGACCCCCTCCCCCGAGACCCCATTGATTACAATCCTGGTTTACAAAAAAACCCCCCATGATTGATCAGGCATCGGGAGACCGGCACCCCTCCAGCAGCCCCGCTGCCGCCTCCGGGAGCGCCGGGATCACCCCGCAATCACCGACGGCGTGGAGCGACCTCCGCCCGGCATGTCCCGGCTGCTCCACGCCAGGGATGTCCCGGCTCGGGCAGGGCCATGGGGACCTCAGCCTGCCCCAGCTACTTCCACCTACAGCCCTACTCCAGCCTAACCTAAACTACAGCGGCTGCAGGAGCCGCCACGCTCTGCCCGGCTCTTCCGAAGCACTTGGGAAGTGGCTCCTCCGGCGCGGCCCATCAGCACTCCTCGATCAGCAGCTGCTCGGAGCTGTACAGCTTCTTCTTCATCACCCTGAAGCCCGTGCTCAGCTTCAGCGGCGCGAAGGCCGGCCCCGAGGCGAAGAGTCCCTGGATCTTGGGCCAGAGGCGGGAGTCCAGCCGGAGCACCAGGGTGAGCTGGAAGGTGGGCACCACGCCGGGGTCGGCGGCGATGTGCCCCACGTCGTGGCAGGCCTTGCCGTGCTCCACGCACAGGTCCAGGAGGGCCCCGCGCAGCCCGCAGGGTTCGCTGCACGCCAGGCGCAGCAGCTCCGCCCGCACCTGCGCCTGCAGCTGGGCCGGCATCAGGAGCCGCCAGCAGCGCTTGGAGCCCAGCGGGGCCCGGCCCAGCGCGGCCCGCACCTCGTCCAGCAGGCTGGCGCACAACAGCTCGTCCTCGGGGTCGTGCAGCAGCTCCAGGTCCATGTCCGGCAGGGAGACGCCCTCGGCGTACTCGGCATCTGCGGAGGGAACAAGGCGGATCAGCGCCGGGGGTGCGAGACACCGATGGCAGGGGTTCAGGGGTGTAGCAGGGGTGCGCCGGTGGCTCTGGGACACGCCGGGGGCTTGGCACAGCACCTCCACCCCTCCGCCCAGGGACCCTCATCCATCCATCCATCCATCCATCCATCCTCCAGCCCCTGAGGGACCCGCACTCACCTCCCTCCGAGCCGGAGGCGCTGCCCAGAGACTCGCAGTCGGAGGTCTCCAGGCGGCCCCGCTCGCCGCCCGCCAGCCGCTCCCACAGCCCGGGCATGGCTCCGGACACGGCACCACCCAATCGGGCCCGGCTCCGCCGCCGCTCTGCCCACACCACCCGCGCCCCACCCTTATATAGCCGCGGCGCGCCGGGACACGCCCCCCTCCCGCGCCCGCCAATGGGAGCGCGGGGCACGTCCGCGGCGTCTCTCCTGCCCGGTGACAGCGGGAAGGCCACGCCCCCTCCATGGGCCACGCCCCCTGGCGGCCGGCGCGGCCCCGGGCGCTGCAAACGGGAGCCGCGGTTGCATCAGGGCCGGCCCGGGATACCGGCGCTGCCCCGCACCCACCCCGGCCCCGCCGCACAGCATCCCCGGACACCCCCCGACCCGCACAGCACCCCGGGGCCAGCCCATCGCTCGGGCACACCATCATGTCCCGGTGGGGAGGGGGACGCCCGCCGTGTCACCGCGGTCCCCGACCCTCCGTGAGCCGGGAAGCCGATGAGGGTTCCCCCATGGATTACTGGGGTTTGATCCGCCCCGTCTGCCAGGAGCTGTTCGCGCGGTGGCACCGGCGGGTGCTGCTGCCCTGGCACGGGATGGAGCCCTGCAGCCCCGCTCCAGCACCAACCCCACCGGGAGCCCACCGGGGTCCCGGGGTCCCGTTCGCTGGCCTTGTCCCGCTTTCCTAAGGCAGGAACGGATGGTGGAGTGAAACTTGTTAGAGACCAAGGGGTGCGGGGGTAGGGCACTGCCAGGCTGGGATGGGGTTCTGCTACTGAGCAGGGCACTGGCCAGGCTGTGGAAACCCCATCTGCCATCCCTGGTGTGTCCTAAATGTGGGATGGGGTTCTGCCCAGTGCCAGGCTGTGGGTAACCCCCATCTGCCATCCCTGGTGTGTCCTAAATGTGGGATGGGGTTCTGCCCAGTGCCAGGCTGTGGGTAACCCCCATCTGCTTTCCCTGAGGTGTCCTAAATCTGGCATGGGGTTCACTCAGTGCCAGGCTGTGGTCACCCTATTTGCTATCCCTGGTGTCCCCTAAATCTGGGATGGGGTTCTGCCCAGTGCCAGGCTCTGGCACCCCCACCTGCCTTCCCTGGTGTCCCCTAAATCTGGGATGGGGTTCACTCACTGCCAGGCTGTGGCACCCCCACCTGCCCTCCCTGGTGTCCCCTAAATCTGGGATGGGGTTCACTCAGTGCCAGGCTGTGGGTAACCCCCATCTGCCATCCCTGGTGTCCCCTAAATCTGGGATGGGGTTCACTCAGTGCCAGGCTGTGGTCATCCCATCTGCCATCCCTGGGGTCTCCTAAATAAGGGATGGGGTTCTGCTCAGTGCCAGGCTGTGGCACCCCCACCTGCCCTCCCTGGGGTCTCCCAGATCCCGCCCGGGACACGGCCGAGCCCCCGGTGTGGCGGTGTCCCCCGCGGCCGTGCCGGTCCCCACGTACGTGACCTTTCCCAAGGCAGCCCCTGCGGAGCGCAGGAGCGCAGTGGGAGATAAAGGGCTTTGTTTGTCCTCCCGCTGCGCTGCCTGCGGCTTTATCGGAGGGGCTGAGCACGCTCCGAAGCCACCCCGGGCTCTATCTTGGCTGCTGTCCTTCCCGAGCCCGCAGGGATAAGAGCCCGGCGATAAACACGGAGCGGGGCACACGGGGCACGGGTCCCCCACCCACTGCCACCCAAAGCGGGCACAAAGGGCTCTGGGCACCCCCAGCGGCAGCTGCAGCTGCTTTTCAGGGGTCACAGCTTGAATCCATCTGCGTTTTGGGCGTGGAAGGCTGGGCTGGGGGAGTGGGTAGCATCCCAGGGAGCGGAGGAGAGGTGTGGGGAGTTGGGAACAAGTCCTGGCTTGCGCCCACAGCTTGCAGAGATACTCCTTCGGTTTTTGGGACCAAAAAATGAACAATCCCCCAGCCCCCAGCTGTTAAAAATACACCCCAATATTTGCACACTCAGCGGGATGGTGCTTGGGATCCTGTTTTTCACAAAATGCATCCCGTGGGTTATTTCTTCCCACAGCCACCAAGTCATTGGTACGAATGTTGGCTGGGTGAGGCTGAAAATAGATGAGGATCTGCTGGTTTGGGGGGTCAAAACAGGGGGGAAGCAGCAAATAAACAAAAAAGAGGTAAAGGACCACAGGGAAGGCGCCCTGCTAAAAATAAGCTGGAATTCTAGAGCCAAGCATAAATATTTTTCTTTCTTTGCCATAACATCTCCTGGTAGGCAGCAGAGCAAGCAGCTCTGGTGCGATGGCATGTTTTAAAGGGAAATGTAATTTTTGATCCCTGCAATAAAATAATCCAGCTGGGAGGGGGGGGGGGGAGGCAGTGTGGGGCTGGCAGCTCCTTCTGCTTCCCAAAAGAAGCTGAGATCCAGGCCACTCCTCTGCAGCAGGGCCTCTAGGAATGGTTTTGGGCTGGAAAGCAAAGTTTTAGCGTTGGTAATCCCTGCACTTCCCCTCCCCTGGTGCTGCTGCTGGCAGTGAACCCGGGGTGGTTTCTGTGGAGGAGCAGCGTGTCTTTCCCCCTGACCTGCTGTCCTTTCTGTGAGAGCAGAGATTGAGGCTTTCTGGACACTCTGTTCCCAGCCAGCTGTGCCTGCCCCCTGTGTCTGGGCTGAGATTGACTCCATCGTTCTGATTTCCAGCCCGGCTTTGCAAAGGGTTAAGCAGGAGCCGGGGGAGCGGCTGGCACTGGGGAGGGTCCTTGGCTGGGCCCCTGCCCCGATGTGCTGAGCTCAGCGCTTTTGCAGGCCGCAGGGGGAGGGGGCTGGGAAGGAGGAGGAGGAGGAAGAGGAGGAGGAGGAAGGGAGGAGATGTACTGAGGGGCTCAGCGAGTGCTCTGGCTCACGTCGGCTGCAAACTGTGCCCCTGTACGGTGGGGAGCAAATTCCTGCCCCGTGGGCTACTGCTATGGAGGAGTCCCCGGCTTCGTGTTTTTTCCCCAAAAAGTCACTTTTAGGTAAATTTACACCCTGTTTTGTCACATTGGGCTGGCACACACACATCACTGGGATCCTTTGTGTCCAAGCCACAGAGGGGCTGCGACCATGGCTTTTTCTGTGCCTGGTGGGGTGGGTGTCCCTCACAGCGCGTCCCTGCTGGTGGCTGGGGGTGACAGGCCCAGAGGGTGACCCTGCATCCCCCGAGCCCGTGGCCAGCTCCGGCAGGTGAGCTTTGGCTGCGTGGGACGCGTGGCAGGTCCCGGCGTGCCGCTGGCCGGGCAGGCCTGTGCCACAGCCAAACCTTGCGGGCCCGTCTCTCGCCCTGGGACAAGCAGCTGCAGGAGCCGGGCGGGGGAGCAGGGAACGTGCATCCATGAGGGTGGTGGCAGCCGGGATGCCGAGTTGAGAGCTGGGTTGAGTGCCGGGTCGGCACCGTGTCGTTGGCAGGGTGTGGGCCACGAAACTCCTCTCGCCTTGGGTGCTTCTGGGGGAGAAGATGGCAGAGGGTGTTTCTGGGGGTGCTGCCCCACACTGCTGCATCCTGGATGCTGGGAGAGGCCCTCCCTGCGGGCGGCCTGCCCGGGCAGCCGGGCGAGCGCGTGCCTTGGCCCCGTGGCCGGCGCTGGGGCCCTGGCCAGCGGCGAGAGGAGCCGGGGAGGGGAGGTGTGAGCGGGGCCTGTGCCGGTACATAACGTTCTGCTGCGAGCACCCACAGGAAAACCAACAGCAGCTCTGAACGAGGCTCTTTGTTCGGCTCTTTTTTTATTTTCCCTCCCCTCCCCGCATCAAGTTTTTCTGGCAGCTGCCGGGCTCCCTCCTCCCTGCGGCCCCCCGAGCTCCCGGGACCCCGGGCCAGGGGGACGTGGGGCTTCCACCCTCCGAGGAGAAATATCCACCGCTGGCACAGCCCCACCGATCTGCAAAGCAGGAAATAGGCTGGCTTGGGAGTTTCCAGCTGCCAGGGAAAACCTGGGTTTGGAGGAGGGGGAGTGTGGAAGGCTTTGCCCGTACGGATCCCTCCAGTTCTCCCTGCCTTACATAAAGTGTTTACTGAGAGGTAGGAGGGAACAGCCAACAACATGTTTTTGCATTCGTAGTACTGTACAGGGTGAACTTTTCACTTCCTCTCAATGGCTCTCACACATGTGTCTATTTTGGTGCTGGGCACACATACAAACACACCATGTACAGCACGGAGCTGGGGACGTTCCCTGCTCTGTCCCAGCACAAGAAACTGCTGCAAAACAAGCAATGGGAGGAGGGTGAGGGGGAGAAATCTCAGCCCCGCCGTGTTCAGGATCTGGATGGGGAAGTCTGGGCAGTGCTTGGGCACTGCATCCCCTGGGCAGTGCTGCAGGCACGGAGCCCCTGGCATCCCAGGAGGGCTGGCAGGGTGGAAAAGTTTCCCAAGTTGAGCAGTGAAAAGGAAAAGCTCTTTCTGTGCCTGATTGTGCTGGGTCAGCGAGCAGGGGTTACCGGGTGTGAGCGAGGGAGTTTGGGGGATCTGCTGCTCCATTCCCAAACCCCACAATGATATGGGGTGAGGATTTTTGGCAGGTTTGGCCAAGGTAGATGTAGGTGGCTGGAGTGAGCAGGATTAAAAATAGATGCCACCGAGCAAACAAAAAAGTGGAGGGCTGAAGCACTCCCTTCTTTCCCGAGCAAGCCCATCTGGGATGGAGTTTGAATCCCGCCTGCCGTCACGTTTGGAGCCGCTGACTGTGCAGGAGGCCCCCGCAGAGCAGGGCCTGGCAGCTCTCCAAGGCTGGGGAGGAGGTTTTCCGGGCTGGGGCCGTGGCTGGGGTGGCCAGCGTGGGACAGTCTCAGCTGAGCTCAGCCCTACGTGAGAACGCCCCTGTGCCGCTCCCGCAGCCGCGGTGAATTTCCACGGAGCTGGAATTGCGGCTTCGCCCGTGGCTCAGGCAGCGTGGGGCTCTGGATTGCCCACAGCTGGCTCTGGCACTGCAACTGATTTATGCACAGCAACACACACAGAAGGTGGCTCTATGCTTTTCCCCCTCAGTTTTAGCTAATTGCTGGTGATCTGAAATGGGAATGGATCCCAGCTAATCTGTTTCAATGCAGATGTGGCTGGGCTGAAATAGTGAGTAAAAAATACAATCATCTCGTAAGTGAGATGTTGAAAATGGAAAAATGAGGCATCTGGAGCAGTAAATCAAATAATTGTTTGCATACGGTGCTGCTCCTACCCCCTGCTGGCCAGCAGAGCCATGGGGCGAAGGCTCTCATCCATGGAAAATCAACATGTTGAAATGGTTACGCCAGAACATGGAAATCCAGTTCCCTCCAAGAACAGAAGTGAAGTACAACTGAAAAACAAGATGATTAAAATGGTTGGTTTTAAACCAGGGTCTTCTCCTCTGGCTGAGTTAAACCAGGATTCAAATCTGACTTAAATCAAGCCACTTTTGAGCATGGTTTGGCTCTTCTTACACTGAACTTCAGTCTCCATCATGACAGTCGATCTGCCTCTGAGCTTCACTAAACCTCCTTAACTCCCAAACAGCTGATTGTTTCCCTCATCAGACCAGATAAAGAGTTTCAAAGACAGAGTTATTTTATTGTCACAGAGAAATCTAATACAGAACAAAGAGGACAAAGTTTCAGGGTACTAAAAGACCAAGCAGTGTCCTGCCAGCGCTACCAGAGAAACGGTGATGAAGAGGGAACAGCTTGGGCAATGGCTGAGGCACTGCTGCAGGAGGTGACACTGCTGCAGGAGGTGACATTGCTGCAGGAGGTGACACTGCTGGCCCCCCACCCAGCGCTGGGACAGTTTGTGTCCATGCCCCAGGAGGACAGCAGGGGCTGAGGAGTGCTTCTGGCATTTGCTCCAGAGGGTTTCCCCGCTCACCCAGCGCTCCGGCTGCGCTCCAGCGGGAACCCGGGCCGAGTTACGAGGTCGCCCCCCCACACTGTCCGTGTGCCCCCTCTGATTATCCAGGGGCTGTACAGCTGATCCTGCCTTCTAAGTTACAGAAACCAAGCCCTGCCAGCCTGTAAGGACCTACAGAATCTCGTCATTTCCGTTTATTGGCAGCTTTACGGGGGATCCCCACTCAAAAAAACCCAAAGCCCCATCCTGCCGATGCAGCTGTCAGCATCTGATAGATGGGGGGTGTTTGGAAGCCGGGCCAGGGAACGTTTTTCTTCTGCTCCCTGACAGCAGCACTCCAGACACGCTCAGCCTGAGGAGGGAGTGAATCCCAGGAGCTGCTCTATTGGCTTGTACCTCCACTCATCTGCCTCCAGCTCTTCCACCAGACCGGCAAGTTTTTCCATCCTTGCGACTTGTTGATCTGCGAGGAGTTCAAAGGTAACTGTGGTTTGCAATGGCAGTGCAATTAAACCTTTCAATTAGATGCAAATTCCCAGCTGTCAGTGGGGAGCAGGGCAGAATAAAACCCACAGAGCCCATTTGAATTGAAACCCACTCTGTGCAAACAGCGAGGAGAAAGCAGGGACAGGCTTTTCTGCCCCAGTGTGTGTTTACCCATCCCTGCCCGTGCCATGTACATTCAAGTCCCAACAGGGAAACATCAGGCCCATTAGTGTATGGGGGTGAAAACAGGATGAAGCTCATTTCATGAAGCATAAATATTTATAGTGCAGAAGAACAGAGAAGTTCAGAGAGGGCTTGGTCAGCCCACGGTAGAGCTGGGTGCAGCAGGAGGAACTGTGCTTTTGATGAAGGTCCTTGGAGGAGGACCTGGATGAGTGTGGCAGAGAGGAGCCACAGAGCTGCTGAGGAGAGGAAGGTCCCCAGACAACATCTTCCTCTCAGGTTTACTTATAACCAGTTGGGCACACAGGGTCCATTTGCAGTTAGATGTGCTGCAGTGGTGCAGAGATGGGAACATCCCTTCTCCCAGCTCTGCTGAGGTCTAACAGTGCTGGAAGCTCACTGCGGCCTCTTGGAGAGACAGCCCAGGGCTAGCAAGAGGCGTAACATAAACTGTGTGTGATTTATGCTGACTGCAGCAGTGGGTGCTTTAAGAGGGACTCTTCTCACTCCACCTCCTGCACCCTTTTGGGAACTGTCAAACAAAGAAGCCAAAAAATGATGACCTCGATCTTTTTTTTTTAAGCCCTCCACCTTTCTCACAGGGAGAAAACAGGGAGGTGCTCCACAGTTCCAAAGGCTGGTGTCTATTGGGGTGCCAGGCTGTGTAGCAGCCCCTGGTATCTACAGACACAGCAGAGCTCTGGAAACAATGCCTCTGGAGTTCAGCTTTGCTTTCTGATGCAGAAATAAAGGATCACGGCCTTGCAAGCTGCTGCACACCCCCACAGCCGGAGGAGGACAGGAAACCTCTCCACTCAGAGACAACAGGTGGAAGTACCATTCTGGCTGACAAGAGGTGGGGACCAGAGAGGATGTGACCCTTGAGCAGCAGACAGGATCTGCTGCTGGGCTCTGTGAGAACCGAAGCTGTGCCACAGCCCAGCCCATGGCTGGGTCACAGGCACCTGGGCGAGGGCAAAGGGCCTGGCAGGGAAGCAGAGGTTCAAACAGGACGTCAGGCTGTTCCCTGGGGAGGCAGGGAGTGTACTCAGCCCTGTCACGCCACACCACGCCACGCGTGGCCGCCTCCCCAGTGACTCTGGAAACCTCACCTGACCCTGCCGGGCCACGAGGGCTCAGCAGAGAAACAAAGGTGGAATGGAGCGTCCCTGTGCCCCAGGCCAGAGAGACAGTCAGCGCTGGGCCGAGATCAGAGCGTGGGCGTTTCCTGCCCAGAACCTCCTCCTCCTCCTCCCGCCTCACCTTGTGCTGCCACACAGCCAGGGAAAAACAAGCTTCGGGAGGCACAGCCCGTTCCCACCCCGCCTCTGCGGGCTCCCAGCGCTTTGCATAGGGCTTGCAAAAGGACTCAGTGGTGGCCTGACTGAGCGTTCACTCTGCTTTCTTGTGGCTGACAGCCCAGAGCAGGGCGGGCTTTGCCCCTGCCGCCCTCCCCGAGCCACACGCGGCCGGCGCTTACCGTGCTTCACTTGCTTCAGCGTGGATGCAACCTGAAAGCTGAACACAGACTCACAGAGGAACCTCTCAGAGCCATCTGTAAACAGAAAAAGGAGATGGTTAACCCCAGAGTTTGACGCTGAGCAGCCTTCAGTGCCCCAACCTCCTATTTTTGAGGTGTGCGTCCACCCCTGCCTCATTCCAACATTTTCCCCTGTGCTTTCCCCTGTGGCCCTGCACAGGGCTTTGGCTGCTTCCTGATGCTGCCTGGGAAGACATCCCAGGTGAATTCTGTTATATCCCCTCTGACAAGCAATTTTAGTCCATCTTAAATAGAAGTTAAGCTAAGGAGAAGCCAGGTAATGTTATGGCAGTCTCTGATTCCCTCAGGGCTCAGACGCTCGTGTCCTTAGAATGCTTTGGGATTTCCCACGGGCTCAGACCATAACCCTACACAGAGTTTCAAATAATGTGTATCTTGCCATCCAAGTCAGTAATTGATCATGCAAGTGACTCAGAAATAAAACAATCTGGGAAACATAGCTAATTGTGTACCAAGCACTGACATAGTTTATACTGCCTCCTTCTAAAAAACCCCAAAATACCTACGGGTTTCTTTAGAAACAAGCAAGATAGCCAAAGCAGCAATAAAAATCAGTCAGTCAGTGGGAATTTTTGAACAGGAAACTGCAGCTTCTCCACTGGCAGCTGCCTGATGAAAGAATGAGTGTATCACCTTTGGTGTCAGAAATTCAAAAGCCAACTTAGAGCTTCCTGCAACAGGGACAGTGTTTGGTTGCTGCTGCCACCCAGAGCAGGTGAACTGCTGTGATCCTGGTAAAGAGGTCAGCCCAAAGCACAATCCATTTAAAGCTCTGTGCCACAACAATGTGGAGAGCAGTTTCAAAGACAAAACTCTGGAAAAATCTAATCCAAAGCTGAACCCCAGGGAAGAGCTGGAGTTTCACTGTGCTCAGAGCTTCCTCTTACAAGTGCTGCCCCAAATACATGGTGGAGACATCAGAAAGAACTTTTTCATGGAAAAACATTGGAAGGGGCTGTCCAGATAGGTGGTGGAGCCACTGTCCCTGGAGGTGTGCAAGGAACAACTGGACATGGCACTCAGTGCTCTGGTGCTGTTGACAAGGTGGGGATTGGTCACAGCCTGGACTCAATGGTCTTGGAGGCCTTTTCCAACCTAAATGTTGCATTCTCTCCTCCACCTCCCTGTCTGTCCTGCTGAGTGGCTCTCAGGAGGAACAGCTGCCTGTCTATTTGGTAACACGAAGTGCTTCATTACTTTAATTTGTTTTGAGGGCTTGTTAAGTTCTGTGAGCAAACCTTTAGTCATAATTACTTCAATAGCCTGGCATATGGGCTCTAATGTGTAATAAAAACAACCCTACAACGGCACAGCCATCAGCTCCCAGCTGCCCTAGGCTGCGTAGGGACACTCCAGCTGTCCCATGGTGACAAGGGAAGTTCAAGGGGAGCAGACACTGGTTTAACCCTGTCACCTCGAGGACCTGCCCTTCCTCCCTCACCCACAGCTTGCTGGGCTTCTCCTTCCACGATCCCAATGAAGCTGGTGGAAGGGCTCGGGCACCCAGGTGCAAGCTGGCAGGGAGACAAGCTGCCTCCTGGACTAACCCAGTCAAATCCAACCCAAACCAAGAAAATTACTACTTCTGCCAAGAAAAATATTCCTGTCTCAGCTATCCCGGCAGCAACCCCTGCCCGACATCAAAGGATTAGCCAACAATGAGCAATTAACACCGTCATGTTCCCTTTCAGGTAGATGCTTCCTGGTCTGAAGTGTTGTCATGGAGATAAAAAGGAGGTGAGAGCCAGAAAAATCACTTCTTCATGGACTGGTGGGAAAGCCGGGACCAACCAAACCCCGGTGCTTCCTTTCTATCTCCAGCTTTTGCCAGCGGGGTGGGAAGTTCAGCAGCTGAAGGAGGAGAGGGGAAGGAGAAGGGCAGCAGCAATCACCTTCCAGCATCTCCCCAGCTCCTTTGGGGTAAGTGAAGAGGGCTTTCCGGGGCGGCGCCAGGTCCGACACGCTGAACCCCGAGCCCGTCACGGAGCTGCCGCTGACTCCGCCGGCCGAGGAGGATGAGGAGGAGGCTGCCATGGCACCCCGGGCCAGCCTGCCAGGACAAAGAGCAGGAGTTAGGAAGGAATTCCCCGAGGAGGGATGAAGGCAGTGAGGGGCAGGATGAAGCCGCCCCCGCTGCCCTGTGAGTGTGTGGGAGAGCTGCCTGTGCCCGCTGTGGGGACGGGCACAGAGCTGTCACACCCCAAAACTGAAGGCAACCCCCGCCCCGACCCCTCGGAATTCCCCTGGGAATTCATCCAGAGCGTGCTCAAGAGTAACGAGGTGCAGCTTGCTGGCCTGAATTCACCGGCCTTCAGCTGCCCTGGCGCTTGTCCCGCTGCCCAGGGCCATAAAAGGCGGGGTTTCTTTCCTTTTCTTCCTCCTCGTTTCCAGGAGCACAAACACAGAAGCGCTGCTGCCTCATAAAACCTGGAAGGCTGTGGGACTGCCAGTTCCAGCAGCACATCCTGCAGGGAGCTGTGCTGTGCCTAACCCGCAGCAGCTGCTTTCTGCATCGCTCCAGACGTGCTTTTGCCTTTAAAACATTGTATTTGACTTAAACTGGCAGTGCCTGAGGGTCCATCTGCCTGTGCAGCACAATTACGGTGTGCCTCTCGCACGCTCTCTTCTCAGACTTGTTTTTAAGAGGTACTGGGTTTGTCACAACCTGGGAATTAAAACTCCTCATGTCCCTCTCTGATAGTACAAAAGGTGTCACTTGGCCCTTATCAGTGACAGCACTTGCTGCTCCTCCAAATACTTATAAGCACTTCCAAATTATCCTGCCCATTTAATTCACTTCTGTTATCGTATTTAGTACACCGCTGCAGGCTCTGTAGGGTACACAGGCAGTGCCCTTGGAAAGCACTCGAGGGTTTTGTGGAGAAAATGGGGTTTTAAGACCTTAAAGCTCATCCCATTCCACCCCCTGCCATGGGCAGGGACACCTTCCACTATCCCAGGCTGCTCCAAGCCTTGTCCAGCCTGGCCTTGGGCACTGCCAGGCATGAGACAGCCACAGCTCCTCTGGGCAACTTGTGCCAGGGGTTCACAGGGAATAATTCCTTCCCAATATTCCACCTACATTCCCACTCTGTCAGTGGGAAGCCGTTCCCTTTGTCCAGTTCCTCCATCCCTTGTAAGTTAAGTTTCCCAAGAGTGCTCAAGGTTACTGTGTGTAACACAAAAAACAGCAGCTCACAGGAGCATGGGGGCTTAGGGGCCGTGATGAAAAACGCCTGCATAAAGCAAAGTTTTATTTTTGCCACGCTACACCCCGCAACACCTCCCTCAGCAAACCCTCGGGCTCAGCTCCCTGCTCGCAAGGGAGGTGCGACGATCGTTTGCGCTGAAACGATGCCAGCCGGGGCTCGCAGACCCGACAGATTCCTAAGTGTGGCTGCAGGGGGTTTATTTTAAACAAACACAGAAGAGAGGAGGCGGCAGGTCAGGGCGATGCCTGGGCCTGTTACAGGAACCTCCAGCCAACGCCTCAGGCGCCTCAGGAGCCGCCATCTTGGGGGGGCGGAGATCCCCGCGCTCCCGCCCCTGCAAGACCACGCCCCAACGCTCATGGCCACGCCCCCACACTGACCACGCCTCCTCCCCGCCCTCCCACCAATGGCCCCTCCGAGCTGCTTCCCGGTGAGTGCGGGGCCCACGCGCCGCCGCAGCCTCCACCCTCCCCGCGCGCTCGTGCCGTCGCCCTTCACCTTCCGGGCCGCCGCCGCCTCCCGGCGCTCCCCGGTCCCGTTGCCGAACGCTCTCTCCTTCACCCGGGAGCCCGGACGGCGGCTGGGTGCGGGCGGCGCGCGTGGCCGCGCTCGCGGTGCATGATGGGGCGGGGCGCGCGCCACTTCCGGCGGGACGCGGGGCGGGAGGGGGGAGCGGGGACAAAATGGCGGCAGCGGCGGCGAAGGGAACGGGGACGCTTCGCTGCTCCCGCCGCCTTCCCGCTGGGGTGTCAGAGTAAAGCCGAGGGGTTCTGCTGCTGCAGTACCCACCAGGCCCCGGGAATTTGCGCGGTGTGGGCCGTGCCGCTCTCCCCGGCTGGCCCGGAGACGGTTCCCGCAGAGCCTCTCTGGATGCCGCCGTGTGGAGCAGCCCCAGCTGCGCTCTGCCTCCCGCTGTCGCTGCTCGCTTTGCAGAAGTCCTTGTGTTAAAAAATTGTGACATTAAAGTATTAAAAACAACCCCCCCCCCCCGAAAAAAGCCTGTAAGCAAAAACCCCGGCGACTGATTTTTCATGGCTTTTCCCGTCATTGTACACAGTTGGCCTCTGCTCTTCTTCTCTTGAGCCACAGGAATTATTACTTTTATTGAAGTGTAATGTTTTTTATTGTCCTGTAAGTTCAGGTGATTGTGAGTCATGTCAAAAGGTGGGGCTCGAACTGAGGGAAGAAGTATTAAGATTAACCTTCTCAGCCTGATGTCACTCTCTGTGATAAATGCTAGCTGCTTCTGAGGCAAGCTCTTGTTTTTTTTCTGTTCTGTTGCAGTGGACAGGTAAACCTTCTGACAAAGGTGAATTTTTTGGTGGAAACTTTATTTTCTGAGTAACAGATTCTGGTTTAAAATTGAGATCCAATATTAAATTAACCATGCCAGTGAATATAGAAATTAAATGCTGGAGATGTGAAGTCTCTGACAGAACACTGCTGGCTCTTTGTTTTAGCACCATTAAATGTTCTCCACTCTAAACATTTTTAACTCGGTGCCAGCTAAAGCCCAAAGAAACTATGAAATGTCACATTGCCTGAGGTTACAGTGACTTCTAGCTGAAACCTGTGAGTTTTAGAGTTACATAGCTTACACTGCTTAAATTTCCTGTTTCCACTTGATTGTGCTTTATGTACTTGTGACTTCTCATCAAATTGCTCTGTGATTGAGACATGTAAGGTTTGAGGAGGTGTTGCCTTTCTGAAGAGTCTACACAGAGGAGCTTTTAGCTCAAGGAGGGGAGGCTGAGATTGAATATTAGAAAGAAATTGTTCTCCTGTGAGGGTGGCAAGGCTCACAGAAACTGTGGCTGCCCCATCAGAGCAACCATAGTGGAAGGTGCCCATGGCAGGGCATTGGAATGAGCTGAGCTTTAAGGTCCCTGCCAACCCAGCGTGCAAGGAAACACTGACAGGAGCTTTTCCTTGGCCTGGGTTGGCACAGCTGTCTGTGTTGTTGCAGTAGGAGGAGGAGGAGCAGGATGGATGTGCTGCGGCCCCCCCTGATAAGGATCGGGGGCCGAGTGTACCGCAAAAACCTCATCCAGGAGCAGCCCTTCCCACACGAGGAGGAGGAGGAATTCTGTGCAGGTAAGGAGTGATGCTCAGGGGTGTAAGCATCAGCACTGGGGACCTAGGGAGCTCTCAGAGTCACCTCTGATGCCTTTGTGGGCACAGAGACCTGCCCATGTGGTGGATTGAGGTGTTCAAGAGGGAGAGGAAGGCTTTGTGTTGGTCCCTGATGATCCTGCTGCCCAAAGTGGAAGCAGTCCCAGTTATCCCAAGTGGGTTGGCTGACTGTGCTGCTGACTGTTCAGTTTTCCTGCTGACTGAGGAGGAACTCCAGAAAGAGGGAAAACCAGATGAGCTGTGTAGATCTGTTTTTCCCAGGTTTCCTTGTTTCCCTTACCATCTTTATTTGCAGACATGGCAGCTGCTTGCTAAAGACCCTCTGTCCTTGCAATGTTTGTGCCTTTAAAACTGGCCTTTTGGGGACGAAATTCTTCCTCTCCTGGTGTGTTCTTTTGTCTTTCTGCCTGTATCTTTGCTGTAGTTGTGTGTGAGTTGTTGTGGGCACAGAAAATCTCCAGTGTTATTTTTCAGATGGGGATATGGCAGTTGTGTCCTGTTTCTCCTCCCACCTTGCCTTCCAGTGGATTGCTCTAAGCTTTAACCACGTGCTTTCCATTTAAATTCATCCCTACTTGTGTTGGAAAGGGAACAGGAAGCATGGATTCTTCCAGGGTGTTCTGTTTGATCTGAGAACAGCCCAACAGCCTGCGGACGAAAGGTGCATCTGTTTCTAAATCACTGGCTTGAACCCTCAGAACAAAACTACCCTCACCTTTCATCTGTCTTCTTCTGCAGCCTTAAATTTCTGAATTGGCTGCCAGAAGAGACCATTCCCACTGTGTGGGAATTGCTCAAACTCCAGCTGAGAAAAAACCTGGCCTGTAACTACCTGCTTCCTGCGCCTCCCTCCCAGCCGGCCGGGTTTAGAAGCTGTCATTACTGGTAGTGAGGTGATAAATACAAAGCAGTTACCCACAGCAGAGAGAAGCCCATTCCTTCCTTCATTTCACCTTGAGAGAAGGTTGGCAGGAGACTGTTGTCCTCCATAAAGCACTGCCAGAGTTGACAGACGTGGTTTTCCTGGCAGGCCCCGGTGAGTGTGCGGACGAGCCCTGCGATGCCTTCGTGGTGGAGGAGACCGAGCGAGGCTTCCAGTGCCGGCTCGAGGTTCCCAGCCCCTTGTACAAGTGAGCCTGTGGTTTGTTGGATTTGCAGCCAGCTGGGGGAAGAAGTTGAGCTCAGAATATTTATTTTTGGAGGTTTGGATCTCTGGGATGTGCTTGGGGTTGGAGCACTGGGGAAGGGGAAATTGGCACCGCCTTGAAGTGCGGTTGGGCCTCGCTTGACTCCTCACCGGCCCCGTGGGAGGGACAGCAGGTGGTGCTTGCTGGCTGGCAGGAGAGGCTTTGAACATCTCTTCCCTTGAACATAAAAGCGTCAAGGAGGCTGGGAGAAGGAAGGGGAGGAAGAGCTGGAGCGAGCAGCCTGGCAGGGGGAAGTTTGTGGGAGCTTTCAGAGGAGGAACACATGACTGGAATTGGCTATTGACTCTAGTCCCTTGCTTACTGGGGAACCTGTAGTGTTCAAAGTTTTATCTAGTTATTTTTGACAGTTTTATTAGTTAGATAGTTTTGCTGAAATACAGAGAAGGAAAAGTGGTCCATTGTGTATTTGGATGCTGGCAAATTACTACCTTGAGCAAAGCAAAAAGCAGAAAAAGAGCCCTTATTTCTACCTCAGCTGGGATAATGGGAAAAGAGATAACCCAGCTGATGGAGAGGCTGTGGTGGGCAGAGCTGTTGTGGCCCTACCAACTTATTTTAACTTAAACCAGTTGTGAGCCATAGCTCAACATTGTCCCAGGCTGGACATGTGTGAGGTCCTGGGGATCAGCTCTGTGCCTGCATGTGGAGCTGGGTGTGTGCATCCCTCCAGCACAGAGGCTCCAGCTCTGGACACACGTGGTGGAGAGTGGCCCAGAGTCACTGTGTGAGGGAAACTCTTGCCCTTACTGCCTCCAGGTACATCATTGGGAAGAAAGGGGAAACCAAGAAGAGGCTAGAAACAGAGACTCGAACCTCCATCAGCATTCCCAAACCTGGAGTGGAAGGAGAAATTGGTGAGTAGGATACACAAAATGGATGTGCTTCTTTCTGCTATTGCACAAGCAAAATTTAAGCAGGGAGGGGGTACTGGAGGTGTTTTCCCTTTAATTCCTATTTCTTACAAAGCCCTGACTCACTTTTTGGCCCTGGGAAAGTCACTTCACTTTTCTCCTGAGCTTATTTTTATTGTCTATAAATCCTTATTAAACAGTGTCAGGTTTGGGTTGTTTTTTTTTAAAGTCACTTCTAGGCCTTAAATAGCATGAGAACTTGGGTCCTGAATGTGTTGTATTTTTTTTTTTTTTAGTTTTGCTTATAAAATAGTATTCCATCAATAAGAAACTGAAATAAGCATTCAGAGAAATGCTTGTCTGTCTGTGTACAAAATAAACATCTGCACATGCTTTAATATGAGAAGGGTTGGGATGACATTCGTGACTTTCTGGTGCTGGCACTAGAGCCCAGCAGTGAGAGCAGAGCTTCTTGTACCATATGTTCCCTCTCATCACTTCCAGGGATTTAAAAAGAAAGGAGACCTTGCTCATCAGGGCTGACCCTTGTGGGTTCTGCCAGAGTGGGTATTTGGAGGGTTCCTTAGGGCATGCTCCAGAGATTTCTGGCACAGGGATGTTTGTGACAGAGCTATCCAGAGCTTTCCAGAGGAGGAAGTGCTGGGAGGATCCCACTGTGACGCTGCACAGGAACACGGTGGTGCTTCTCAAGGAGTGGGTCTTGACTTCTTCCCAAGAACTCTGAAGGACTATTAGGAAGGTTGAGAGATGTTGAAAACATGGAATAATAGGAAGCCAAGGAAATTTTGCTCCTTGCTGTTCTTTCCTTTTGAGCTCAAGTGTTCTCTGTTTGGTGCCTTGAAGTGCATGCACAAATAACAGAGAGAGTGTTGATCCTTGATAGATTTCCATGGCATTTTCACTCTGACTGCCTATCTGAAGACTTGAAATAATGCTCTAGAAATCTGAAGGGTCCCTGAATTGGTGGGCTCTCAGTGTTTTTTGGGCCCTCAGAGCAGAGGGATGCTTCTGATGGCATCACCCTGTCTTTGCTGCACAAAGCACAGCCACGTCAGGCATTTTAACTCAAGCTGGGAGTCTGGCAGGTTTTTCAGTACATGGTTGGGGGTTTTGATTCCTGCTGCTTCCTTGGGAGGCTGGGACTAACAGCAGAGAGCTTCAGGGAAGCAGAGAGGCTGTTGATGCTGTGTTTGCCTGCAGTGATCACGGGGCAGCAGCGGAGCGGGGTCATCTCTGCGCGGACGCGGCTCGAGGTGCTCCTGGACAGCTTCCGCAGGAGACAGCCCTTCACACACTTCCTGTCCCTGCCCCTCAACCAGCCTGCCATCCAGCAGAACTTCCTGCACTTCAAGGAGGAGGTGCTGCTCAAGTGCTCAAAGGTAGGGATCCACATGAGGATT